CCCTCTCCCTTTTAAATACCATTTTGACAGAAAAAGTACCCCTTTCGTTACCTTCCTCTGGCTTATCATGCCCATTATTGTGAACGACAGTCAAAGCTCCCCTTACTACCCCTCTGGTAAGCGACCAGCTCTGGTTACGACCACCTTTGTGAAACCCTGTTTGAACTGTGACTTAAACTTTGTCATGAAAAGCTCTCATAAGCAACCGCTTCCATAAGCGACCGTGACCACTTTTGGGATTATCCAATAGGACTTTTCCTTTGTTTTTAAGCTCTCGTAAGCAACCACTCAGGGTCTTATTTACATAAAAAAGCATTGTATAAAATACAAACTGTTAGTTTATTGAACGGCTTCAAAATCTTGTGATGCAGATCAACTCATTGTTGCACATATATTTATATTTGGGATTGTTTTGGTCTAAAAAATTGGATCCATGTAACGTTTAGCCATGTCTATACCAGGTAATTTCTTTTGTTTTCTCTTTATGAATTACTGATGAGTTTCTGAAGCTCTCATAAGTGACAAGCTGTAGTTATGGATCTTGTGAAATTTTTGCACACCTCAGTAGAGTATCGGTTGACACTATTGGCTGATACTCGATCAACATATCGACTGACTCTCATTCACTCTCTCGGCTGACATTGGTCAGCTGATATGTTGATCAACTGAGAGTCAGCCAACCTGTCGAGCAGCAGATCAGCTGATAGACTGTGCTGGTTGGTATGTTGACCACAACCGACATGTGGCCAATACTTCACTGATACTTAGTCGACAGTATATTTTTTGTGTACTCAAATTTCTGTTATGTTGTCCATGCAGCAATTTTTGAAGGGGCTTTGGTGGCTTTTACCAGTCTTATGGGCGAGTATAATATTTCAAGTGTGTGCACAATTTTTTTTGGATAAAATAGGGAGAAATATGGCATTGCCTTTGAGAGGTATTCAAGGACAATCTAACGTTATTAAACGTGTGGACCAACTGTAGATATCCAGCAAGTTGACGTGGCGAGGCTGACTTAGGATGACATGAACAACAGAACAGAAACTATAGTGCCCCACTCAACCGAAGGTTGAGGGGTGTCTTTCAGAAGAAAGGATAATCAGCTGCATGATAGATTTTCCTACTCTTTTATATATTTGAACTCACTAATTCCCTACCCTTTGATATGCCTAAAGCCCGAAATAGGTACACCTTTTGGGCAGAGTCTCCGTGTATAGGCCATTATAGGGAGTGCATTCCCCACCCTGCCAGCAGCCGGCTCTGCATGGTTCAATTCTACCTGTTACTGGCATCCTTGGTCAGTTGTCTTTGGGGCTGTTTGAGCCATCATGAAATGCATTTGGCAAATTATGAATTTTAATGACAGAATGAGCATCATTCATCATATTGTGTGAGCTCAGCCATGCGTTTATAAATTGTCATCAAAATGTTTTCTTGGTCTCTAGATATTACCACTGTGGATGCTTCAAACTGTGACTACCCTGAGGCAGTGAAAAGATTATGTCCAATGTGTTGTGCCATTCATCAATTTTTCATAAACCTGCAGCCACATGAATTCGAACAAAGCTACAAAGAGAACTTAGAGTGGACTGGAGGCATTGATAGATTTATAAACTGCTTTAGTTTACTCAAGTCCTCTCACCCTGCAGATCATAACTTGTGCCTTTTATTGTTAACATCCTCACTGGAACATGCCCTAGGTGCTATTCTGGTGCCAAACAGTGCCCCTCTTTATTGAAGGACTTACTGACTACACAAGAGCTAAAGGAAGTATTTGGTGATGCTGTTATCACCTTGCTTCACATTTTAATTGGTCCACCTACCAGTCTCAATCTTAGGAACATTCTGTGGCATGGATTTGCTGCACCTGGAGAAGTGCCTACTCAGTAAGTGCCATCTTGGTGGTAACAAGTACAGTTATGTCACCTACTTTTAATTTATAGTCCCTTAGGCCAAGGTAAAAGGTCAATCTTCACATATGCCAAACCTTATGCTAAGGAGCAAACTCTTGTTTGTCACATTCTTTTGTGGCAAACAGACACTTTTGCTAGTGCTCTGCATTTCCGCATTCATGAGTTCCTATTTCCAACCCTCAAAGTTAAAATTTTTGTTCAGTGGCCATTTGGCGATCAGCTCTTTGGGTTTAGTCGCCAGGGGAAATTTTTAGGCGCCAAATTATATTAATAAATTAATATATCAAAATTGTCATTAACAAGAGCAGTTAGCAAGTTTAACTTAAAATGCAGCACTGTCTATAAATTACTCGTTTATTGTGCAAGGCATTAGTTACTGATAGTCTGAGAACAAGGTTTGCAGATTCATCTCCTTGAATCAATACTGAAACGGAATTGTAAAGACAAATGCAATTACCATTTCCAGTTGTCTTTAGGGCCTTCAATGCTTCTGTATAATCCCCAGTTGGTATATGAGAGCAGAACTTAACTCATCCTCTGTTAATGTGTTCAAAATTTCCCAGTCGCAACTTGATAGGCGACCTATTCTTTTTTCTGATATTTGTTTCGCATTTCTTTTGCGGCTTTTGTTGATGATGAACTTGTTTCCCCAACTATCAAATATTTTTTTAAAAGGTCATTTTTCATATCTCTAGACAGTGCGAAAGCCTGACAAAGGCAGGAGAGTATAGGAAGATCAACAAATTTTCTAAATCAAATCATTGCTTTATAGAGATAACATCGCGCACGTGAAGATTTCGCAACGAGTTGTACTGGGAAAAAATGTTTTTCCCAATCAATTGAAAGGAACCCAAACAAAAATGCCGCTTATGAAATAATAAATTTTCTTTTTCCTTTATCATCGCTACAGGTGTTTAAAAAAAACATTTTTTGCAACAACCATAAGCTGTCAGTTTTGCGATGTTTAGTTTCGCTTACAATTATCGCTTTTGTTTACAAAACCACGGGTGCGTTCGATTGGGAAATCCGGATTTAGATTTTCAAAATCTAAACCCGGATTTCCCAATCGAACGCGAAATCCGAAAACGGATTTCACCTCCGAGAAATCCGTCCTCAGGGTGGATTTCAATTAAGAAATCCAAATCCGGATTTCATGGATTTCCCTTTTACCGTTCGATTAGGAAATCCGAAAAAGGATTTGCAAAACTATTCTCGTGAACAGTGGTCTTCTTTTTGCTAAGTATGCGTGCGCGTGCAAGACCGCTGTTCTTAAGGACAGTTTTTCAAATCCTTTTTCGGATTTCCCAATCGAACGGTAAAAATGAAAATCCAAAAACAGATATCTCAGCGTTGAAATCCGTTTTCGAATTTCGCGTTCGATTGCAAATCCGGAATCCGGATTTTAAAATCTAAATCCAGATTTCCCAATCGAACGCACCCCACGATTCAACTCGCTGCACGGTTCACATGTTACAGTTATCACATATGGGTGTGTTCCTTTCGGTGAATCCAAAAACGGATTTTAGATCTAAGAACGGATTTCGCGTTCCTTTCGGCAAATCCAAATCCGGATTTTTGATCTGGTGAATCCTTTTTGAAAAAGGATTTATTGGATTTGAGATCCGAAGAATCCAAATCCAGATTAACGGATTAGTGATCTACGCTGTTCCATTCACAGTGGATCCGAAATTAGTTAGATGATCCAGCGGTATTTCCAGTTGAAGTATTCCCATAGAGGCCGTAGAGTTTCCTCGTTGCTGTCATTTGCCTCAAAACATCTGAAAACACTAGAAGATTGTTCCTGGTACAATAAAATATCCATATACTAACCATTTGTCTCTAAAGATTGCTTGAAATAAGAAATAAGTAAAAGTAGCAAATGAACTGCTATCTACCTACAAACTCGCTTGTAGACGCGACAGGCACTCGATCGTGTTACATAAAAAAATCCGAGTTATGGAACTGGATCAAACTGGCCGACATTCTTTAGATAATTTTCAATTTTAATGCGCTTCTTTCTCTGTCTGTTTTATATGTTCCATCGTCGCTATTCGAACTGCCTACCACTAAATTCGGCACGGTATAATCGCATAATTTGTCAAACAGTACAAAACACATCATTTCTTGAGAGGCTGTCGTGCATATTGCACGCGTTGGCGAAAGGTTACCAAGGTTACAAATCCAATTTCGGATTTCACGTTCCTTTCGACCGCGAAATCTGGCAAATCTAGGATCCAAAATCCGTTTTTGGATTCGCCGAAAGGAACACACCCATAATGTTCTGTGTTGAATTTGCACCAATTTAGGGGCCGACCATTTAACTCTTGAGGGGGGGGGGTGATTTTGAAAAAAGATTTCCTGCAAGCGCTTGTCGGAAGAAAAAAATTGCATGCAGCACAAATGTAATAAAGAGCTTAAGGGAAAAAAAGGGAAAAAAAATATCCTGCCCACCATATTGCTAGAAAAAAAAATTCTTGATGACCAGAAATCACCCACCCCCAACCTCAAGAGTTAAATGGTCGGCCCCTTAGATAGCTTTCCCTCTTCATGTTATTAGATTGTTTTACTATTGATTCAAAAATATTTATAATATGTATTCCAGTTAAAAAACCACTGAACTTGGCTAGACAAGCATTCCTAAGATATCAAAGAAATCTTCACTGTCGACAAGGCGGTTTGATTGCGTGCCATTTGTCACGTGTCAAAAGTTAAAATGTCACGTGCAAGGCAACAGTCTGAAGGCGATTAGGCGAACGAATGCAAGTCAAGTTTCATTGATGTTCATTTTCAAAACGCTTAACTCTGAGACTTTTTTAAGTTTTCAATTTAGCATGTTTTTCAACGGAAAAGTAAAAAAGTAATGGAATTCAAATCAGCTAGAATAAATGTTCTTCATATTTCAGTAGAAGTGATTACCAGTCCGGAATATCCCTAAATAGGGTCCTTTCGAAATTATTGGACGCGCGCTCCTGAGAACTAGGTACTTGCATGTAAACGAGGCTTAGAGGACAGCTGGGAAAATAAAAAAATAGAAATGCATTCACTGTCTTCACTGTAAGTTGAAATGCTCCAAGTTTTGCAAAAGTCATGGTGAATTTTTGTTCGGTAGCAAACTGCTCGAACAGTTCGAGGAATCGTCCGGATCTATCCTTTTTCTGTTTTCCTTCAGGGCATTTTAGAAGGCTATGGAAAAACTTTTGTAGACGTTGTGATCCCGAATTCCAAAATCAAAAAAACCCTCGGATTTGCAGCGCACACTTCGAGGCTTCATCCATCAAAAAAGTCGCTTTGCGGAAGAAAAAAGTTATTCAGGTGAATTACCGAAATATTTTAATCCCTCGACCCACCAATGTCGTGTTTCTTCCCGTGAAAAGAGACTGGAGGACAGAAAGAGACGTGCTGTTGATGAAAAATGTCCTGAACCTCAAAAAGAGAAGCCTTACCGAGGAAGACAAAGACATTTGTTTCTTAAGCGACGATGCAGCCCTTTTAGATCACAATTATTGCCACCTTCTTCCTAACGACAAAGGAACTCAAACGGACTTTCCTTACGAAGATCTAGAGGTTTTAACCAGTAAAATTGACGCTTTAAAACAAGAGAACGCCGAACTTAAATCAAAGTTATCAAACAAAAAACAATTGAAAAGAGAGCTCTTTGTGGATGATGTTTTGAAAGATGACGAGTCTGTCAAATTTTTTACGGGTATACCTAGCCTTGCTTGCTTTATGATGATATTTAATTTGCTCAAGCCGTTTGCAGAAAAACTTAAGTATTGGGACAAAAACAAAAAAAAAAAAAGTAAGCTATCAAAAGATTCAAGTAAAAAAAAGCCTGGAAAGCAAAGATTATTGACCATTATGGAGGAATTTATCTTAACTTTGGTGAGACTCAGACTTGGGTTTTTAAGCAGACATCTTACAGATATCTTTGGAGTATCAGAAGGATCAGTTAGCAAAGTTTTCACAACGTGGATTTGCTTTTTATCTACAGTTTTTCGTGACATTCTTCTTAAATGGCCTTGTAAGGAAGAAATTAAGAAAAAAGTTGCCAAGTTCTTTTAATAAATTTCCAAGCACTCGAATAATAATAGATTGCACAGAGATATTTTTGCAAAAGCCAACATCCCCTAGTGCCCAGAGAGCTACATGGAGTAACTATAAACAGCACAATACCATGAAAGCACTGGTGGGAATCACTCCAACAGGTTACTTCTCCTTTGTTTCTAAACTATGGACTGGAAATGTCAGTGACAGATACATCACAGAAAGAAGTGGTCTACTGGACAAACTTGAAGAGGGGGGATTCTGTTATGGCCGACAAGGGGTTCAACATCAGAGATCTGCTTACAAGAAAGAAAGTTGCACTTAATATCCCACCACTTTGCAAAGGTACCTTTCCAATAAAGGCAGCTAATGGGGTAGGGGTGGAAGAGGGTATGCTAAGATAAAAGAGAAGGTCTCCCTGGACAAAAAAAAAAAAAAAAAAAAAAAACTAGATATAACAGCATCCATTACTTGTTGCTTGTAAAAAGGATCTTTCTAACTAAACAGAAGAAGTTTCTTAGGAATATTTTTTATATTATAGGGTTAAGTTGAACTGCTCAAAGATAAAGGTAGTCTCTACTAACTTCCAAACATGTCTACATAGCAGGGGTGGATCCAGAAAATTCAGAAAGAGCTGGTGTGAGGCAGTGGTTTGCCACTTCCACCCATCCAATAATTTAGTACAGGTTTTGTTTGGAAAAAGGTTTCCAAAAAAGCAAGTACTTTACTATCAGTACCTTTTGAATTGGCATTTACTTCATTCAAAATCCTTTTTTCTCCTCTTACACAGGAAAGCAACTTTCAAAAAAGGCAGTAAAATCTACCCGTACCATTGCAAGTGTTCGGATCCACGTTGAACGTGCTATTGGACGTCTTAAGGACTTTAGAATTCTACAAGGGAACTTCCTTCTTCAAATGCTACCCACTGCAGACAATATTCTAAGTGTTTGTGCTGCTCTGTGTAATTTGCTACCACCACTGGCCAAATGACTGACGCATTTGTCCAGAGAGCAGAAAAGCAGACCTACTTAGTGTATGTAAATGGTAAATGAAACATGTATTAAACGTATCCAGAGACAGATCAATAAAATTATGTGGTATCTAATCCAGCACAGACAAAAAACACTATTAATTTTAAGCACCTTCACTTTTACAATCAGCATCTAACGGCAGTCACTCTATAATGACTTAAGTATGTCATGGTGGAATAGTTCCTGAACTATATACTCCACGAAGAAGTTTCTCAGCTTTTGGAGCATTTCACTCCACAAATCACTATCAAACTTAACGTTTACAATCAATATTCCTTTGAGGGTATATATAACTAGATCACAGCGATGAATCCCTGTTATCCCCATCAGTCCCTGGATTTGGTAGTTCCATTTGGTTTCTTTTTAATTTCATACTTGCCATCCACAAGCATGAGGTTCTCCTCAGCTGCAACATGTGGAGGGAGATTTCTTTTGCATACATGCTTTTAACTTCAATTAACTTCTTTTGGCAGCAAGCACAAATCCTTATACCATCAGGACTGGCTCCTAAGAAGGGCCATAATGTGTTTACAATGAGTCCACTTTTTTTCTATTGACAACTTTTCATGATTTTTGTTCTGTTTTTTATGTAAAGACTAAGTGCTCGCTTTTCTTTTTTTCATGCCCCCATGTCAACTGTCGTGGCATGGCATCTTCAGCAATTGGACAGTAATTCATGAGATGTTTAATAGTGTTTCTTCTGTCTGTGCTCTCTCTAAGGTGGCACACAGTGTAAAATGAGGAAGCTGTAATTCTTCCTGCCCTTTGATCAAACCAAAATTGAGACTGGGATTGATAGACAGTTTTCTTGTTGATCATTTCTGCTTGCTCTTCATTAAATGGAATAGACTCGAGGAATTCAACTGCAAGTTCTTTAGAAACTGTAGGCATCACTTTCTCAGTATTAACAGAAACAAACACTTTGGCGTAATCATTCATTGAATATACATGTACACTTTGAACACTTTCTTCTTTACAGACATTAACATCACTGCTGATGAAAGCTCTGACTTCTTCCTCTGTATGCCTGGGTCCTTTAGTTGAAGATAAAAAAGGCAGAGCTGAAGAGCTAGGACATGTTTCCAGCAACCCAGCTTTAAAATCTTGTTCCAGTTCAGTCACATTATAGGGAATACAAATTGGATTAAAATCTCTTGGGTGAATTGGGTCTTTCAATGTCACACCGTAACTACCACTCGTTTGAAGGTCCTGAATGGGCAAACTTCCCTCATTTCTCTTTCCTCTCTTTTTCCACATGCACTGTCCTGATGTACATGATTGGAGATCATTGAATCTCACATTTGCTTCTAGATCAAACAATGCTGCAGCTATGTGTCGGCAACCTCCATCTGCCCTGTTTAAAGGAGGACCAATATGACAAATATGTATCTCACATTGTTCACACTGATAGACCGTAAAGTAGCCAATAAGTTCAGTTACTAGGCTCACAGATTCTGACTTTGAACCACTGTTTTAATACTTAGTGCTGAAGTCATAAGTGATCCAGAAGGTTTGAGACTTAAAATAATGCATCCATTGATTTAGATCTTCAATTCAGGAGGCATCTACTTTTTACTCATGTTACAACTGCTACAAGGAAAATATAAACCTTCGAATCTGAATAAAACAAAACCTGTCACAGAGAAAAACAACCGAAAAGACCAAACGTTTTGATTCTCAAACGTATGTTTATGGAATATCAAGCACATAGACAGGCTTCAGAAATCAGAAGAAGAAAATACATACCCTCCTTTGCATAAGCAGTAGGCTGAATTGACACTTCCATCCTTCTTTAAAATGAAAAACCCTCTGTATGTTGCTGAACCATCATCAGTCTTGGATTTTTCAGTTGGCTTTACAGCAAACTTAAAATAACTGTAATTACTATTGGGTTGAGGTGGATGATACCAAAGTTCTTCCACATGTCCATCAAAAAATAATTTGTACCCCAATAAAGATTTGTAACTTTTAGGCTTTCGCTGTTGTATACGGGATCTTTACCCACCAGGTAATTAAAAAGATCGGGGAATCTAAAGTCCGGTACGTTAGTAAAGTTTTTGGTCCATTGGGAAAAAACACGGTTTTCGTTATCCAACGGATTTGCGAGATCTCCCTCATCGGTTTTCAGTTGCTCTTTCATAGAAACTCTTGGATCGACTGGTGCTTCCTCTTCAGCAATTTTTGGGACTTTCATCTCCTCACTTTTCTCACAAAGTTCTACCAGTTCAACCTTACGTTTTCCTGAGCTTTGAATGCCCCTTTGTTTTAAGTATTCTTTTAACCAAGGAATCGGTTTACAGTGAAAACTGCCTGCAGCAGAGTCAGCCATCTTGTGTCCTCTAAGCCTCGCTTACATGCGACTACCTAGTTCTCAGGAGTGCGCGGTCAAAAATATCGAAAGGACCCTATTTAAGGACATGGCCAACTGGTCACGCGACACTTTTCAACCAATGAGAAGGCGCGCTTGTGTTTATCAACAAACAAATCAAAACATCGCCCCAGTGATCAAAAATTTTCAAAACAACGGACGGAGTCGGACAGAATCAGTCATCGTTTCGAGGTTCTCAGGCATATTTTTAAGACTTTTCATGAGGCATACACAATTTTTTTAAGTGGACAGCGTATCGGAAGCCATATTGGAAGTGTCTCGTGAAATATTCAGCACATTTTGTGGCTTATTCTTCTTTTATCTTTTAAACAACGCGATGTATAGGAGAGATTTTGGTCGGCTTTCAAGGTAGGTGAACAACTTGTATCAATTATTTTTTCGATTCACAGATTTTTTACGAAGTTCTAGATATTTTCCCTCGATTGTCATATCGATTAACTTTTATCATGTTGAATTGGGGGGGTGGCAGACAACCTAGAATTTTGGTAGACAATTTTTGAATTCCGAGGTCCAAAATACGTAGGTTTTCCACTCCCGGGTTTCTCACAAAAGCCGTGTTATTACTTTTTTTCGCATAAGTACGAGCCTTTGCCTTTTTTCTTTTCAAGGCCAAAACAACTTTATTAGTCTTATGGATATTCACGTCCAACATCTCGCCTCACTTTGCCGAATTTGCGGGGATGAAATTGAAGATCACAAGCGCAAGGTAGATACTAACCGCTTTGTTTCTGAAATTCACTAATCTGGAAAGATTTAATGTTGTTGGATTCTCCAAATGTTCATCCGCCGTTAAAAAACAATCAAAGAAACAAGGCAAATCTCAATTGCCATGCTGTATTTCGCTACTCATTGAACATGCACTGATTATCTGGGATAAAATTAAAACGTTGCAGGTACTACAGCAAGCAAAGAAAGCACCAGATGCGTGAAGTCAACACGAAACAACACAAAAAAACAAACAAGAAAAATTAATAAATTTCAACTACTTTCTATTCTGGTTATGATGACTGGTTCTTTGATTCTTGTCCTGTAGAAGTTAATAGGTAGTACCAATGCTGTTTTGTTACATCTCAACAAATTTTCACACTCTCTCTAAGGCTATTTTTACACGGGACGAGTTTGCTTCTATCAAAAATCTTACAAGCCATGCCAGTGAAGCCACGACCTCTGCGATCGGTCCGGAATCAGTTCGAACACCGCAATGATTCCTTGCAATGATTAATGCTCTATATTCTCTTACATGACATGTTTTCTTTGAAATATTAAATGTGAAACCTAGACGAGTACTGTAAGCTCATCTTTAATTCTGTCCGACTCCGTCCGTTGTTTTGAAAATTTTTGATCACTGGGGCGATGTTTTGATTTGTTTGTTGATAAACACAAGCGCGCCATCTCATTGGTTAAAAAGTGGCGCGTGACCAGTTGGCCCTGTCCTTAAATTTAGGGATATTCCGGACTGATTACCATTTCTGTTTCTATACGCCATAACACGAACCTATTCTTCACGGTCGCCAGCTTGGCGACTATTCTCCAAATCAAGTCACCAGTTCCAAAATTTTAGGCGCCATGGCAACTAAAATGGTCGCAACTTGGAGGGTTGATTTCCTGAAAGCATTATCTGCCTCGATTAGCATAGCTACCCGCGGGCATGTTAAAATAACGTATTTCAATCTTGAAAACAAATAAGATGTATGTATGTATATATGTTGTGGTTCAATTTTATCCTTGGTTTAATTTTTATTTCCGTTTGTTTCAAACTCATTATCATACATTACCACACCCAAAAACAAAGGGAAATAAAAATTAAACCAAGGATAAAACTGAACCACAACATATACATGTATGTATGTTTGGTGCTTGTGAATTTTCAAGTTTGACTCAGGTGTGAGCTATTTTTACCACAATAGTTAACTCCATTATGAAAATGACCACTGATTTTAAGATAGAAAGTGACAACAAGAACAACAAATTTTATTGAAAATTGGAAATATAACTATACATTACTTTCCCACCTGCAAATAGCTTATAAACTAATTGAGGTGGGGGCAACTGAAGACATATATATTACAAGTACAAGGTTTATATATAGATGGACTAAATAACAGTGAAGACACTGCTATACAGTAAATAGAATAAACTAACGTAAAACAAGACAAGTACGTAACGATTACGAAGAGAGGCTAACCTATACCTGCCAACTCTCACGCCTTTAATAGGCGTGAGTCTCACGCCTGCGGGTTGAAAACTTCAATCTCACGCCCGCTCACGCCTGCGGACCAATTTCTCACGCCTGATTGAAAAATGTGAGTTGTTGCCGTCTTGCTTGACACAATTTCCAAAAATATGTTAACTCAGTCCCATGTAAGGAACGAAAACCATGTGTAAAATGAATAAATGACAATACCTTCCTCGCGATCTCTGATTTTGTGGATAAGCGTTTTCTCGATAACTTCGCCTTCGGAAGACTTCGGACTTCTTCGGGAATCTTCGGAAATGATCGTGTTGTTTTCAAGAATCCCAGCACTCCCAGGATAAAAATCTCACGCCTACATCTCAGAAAAAGTTGGCAGGTATACTAACCTAAATTATTAAATAACTTAATAAGACAGGAGACTTCGACATAATCATCTTCTGACCACAAGAAATTTAGTAATAATTCCTTTATTTTTTTACGAAAGGACGAACATTTAAGTATTTAAGTGACAGGCAACTAAACTGAACACCATCATATAATGTGAATATTTTCATTGTAATGTGTTTATTTTATCATTAGGTATGCCTCATTATTGTTGTTCATTACTACATCTCTAAGCAACAAGTTGAAAGATGCCCCATTCTCTTCAAGAGTATTAATAAGAAGACCTTTACTGAGATTATCTCCTTACACTGGGAAAGACAACAGCATTTTCCCTTCTTTGGAACCATCTAGCATTCAGGAGATATCTGACTTTTTGTGCAAGTTTCTTTACTATTCTAAGCATGCTTCCCTTGTGGCTTAAAGCAGTGGATTATTTCTTGATACAAAGGTACAAGTAATACTTGTAATCACAGACGTTTTTTACACTGTTTACTGCACCAATTTGCAATCATCTTCATGTTTTTGTTAGACAATGTCTCCATTTTTCTAACAGAAATCCTGTAACTCCTCTTCCTTAATGGTTTCCTCCCTGCTCCACCCACAGTTCCTTTCCACATCTCTAACAGTTCCTTTCTCTCATTCACTATTGCTCCTTTCCCCATCCTTAATGGTTCCCTCCCGCTTCTCTAATGTTCCCTCCTCTGTCCATCATTTGCATTTCTTTTGCCTTTTTCTTGACTAATAGTCCCCTCTCTTCTCAATGGCTCCTTAATTCCCCCTTCTCTAATTATTTCCCTTCCTTAATCCCCTATCACTTACAGTTCCTCCTCCCTTCTCTTCCACTGCTCCCTCCACTCTTCTCCATGGCTTCTTTATTTTTTCGTATGGTTTGCTTCTTTGTGTTTCCTTCTCTCCTAGCTCCTTTCCTTTCTCTTTTTTCTCTAAAGGCCTCTTTTCTTAGCTCTTTCCATCAAGTTTGTTAATATAATTATTGCTGGTTTATACCCTGCAGATTTGACTTGTGCATTGTTCTGCTGCTGCCTCAATTAGAGCACGGCTGAGTGAGAAGAGTATTTGCTTGTGTTAATAATTGTCCATATAGAGCACTGACTGCGGAGTCTACAGTATTGTATACCACATTTGACGAGGTAAATAAACATACTTCCTTGGATTTATTTATTAAAACTGGCAAAACCATATACCCACACTTATTAAAATAAATGGACGGCTTGTAAGGAGTCACCTGTCCTACAACAAAAAGTTTGAAACTGGCAGTATTTTTTTTAAAACTGCAAATGTAGGAAAGACATTCTGAAATTCTTCCTGGCCTTGTAATTTTTGTACTTTGTAATTTGTTTACCCACGGAGCACTTAGGAGCCCTGCTTGTGCCTTCTCCTGGACCAATGCCAGAGCTACTGAGTTGGAGCTCTAATCTTAAGCATTTATTGATACTATTAGAGCTTAACTTTGATGTAACTCAGGGTTTTAATACATAAAGGATGTAGGAGGGGGGAGATGGGTGGAAAACCAATACAACACTGTATGTAAGGTTGGGGTTTTTTTGTTTATCTTCATACGTCTGTCCACCATTATTTTATTCAAGGTCAAGGCTGCTGCCTAACGGGCGCCCGGTCGCCAGAGGCGCCCAAGGTAAGAGCATGGGCGACCAAATTTCGGTACAAGGAGCCCGCGCGGGCGCCTGACTTAACACACGGCATTAGACTTAACCTCCTTGTACATTATATTCCTTTAGCTGGAGTAGGACTTTAAACAGTGGAACTGTTGATATGGTTAGCGATGATGCGATTAGGCAGTATAAAATTTCCACAAATAAACCGTAAATTATGTAAACCTAACGTGTTCAACTGTGAAGCTTTGTCGAAACGAACGAAGCCATCGTTTCCGAGTCCGGATGGCAGTTGAAGACTGGGTCTGAGATTTGACTTCCAAATATGGAATAGCAAAATTATGGGCTGTTTGTTGCCTATGTTGACATTCGTGCAGTTCATCGTTTGCTTGGGTTTTCGTCGATTTGATAACTTTTTGTGGCGAGAATGGGAAGCTATCTTGCGTGCTATCGACTGGACGTGCTTGATGTTCGATTTCATGTACCAGTTTGCAACGTATCAGCATTTTCAAGAGACTTTAAAAACAACACGCCAGAGAACGCAGTATGATATTTCATATTTGTAATGTGATGTCTTTACCTTGAATAAAGAAATTAAAGTAATGATCAACTTTGTGTTGGTTGTATTTCTGCCTTGCTGCACGTGCATGACGTGGCATGACATGGCAGGAAATAATCACATTCACGGACAAAGAAACTTGCATGCATGCATGTAGTTATTCAGATACAGCCATTTCGGAGAAAACCTAAAAAAAAAAAAAACTAAAATCTTTATTCAGCCGTAATAAACAGAGGTCAAAGGATATAAAACACTTTACAACTGCATCTGAAATCAAAGCCTATCAGGGACACCTACCGAAGCATAAACCACAGGAAATGATTACTCAGTATGCATGTAACAAACCTGCTTCATGACCTCTAAATATAAGATTTATAGTGCGGCAAAAACAAGATTTACTCAGTCAAAGTTTAGAATGCTACACCTCTTGCACTGTGTAGTGCTAGTAACCTTCGCGCGAGAGAAAAAAGCAAGAGAACCACTGTTCAAGCAGACTCTCAAGGTCACGTTTCACATTATCACGAGCTTATGAGTCGTGTTTGGCCTGTCAACGCTTATTTCTTACCGCAAATTAAGCCCCTCAAATATTTTTCCGGCTCATGAATGTGTATAAGAAAGGTAAGAAGCAGTTTAATTGTTACATTTTAGAAAATTCTTTGAAGGCTCTTCTAGGTCACATTGAACACAACAGATGTGGAAGTTAATTGAATAAATTAATAAATGAAAGTAAATAATTCGGTTAATTCTTGTTTACGTGTTATTTATTAGGCCCGGCGAATTCTTATTAAAGTGTGCAAGAACCTCTATAACCTATGTAATGATCTTGGAAAAACAATACATGGATTTCAAACTGGGCTCCTAACAATGTGGCTCGGGCTCCTAACTTTAAACTTTAGGAGCCCGAAGGGCTCCCTAAAATTTTTCTTAGGCAGCAGCCTTGAAGGTTGTCAGAAAGTTTTGAAGTAGATGGCCAGTCCAGGGATATTTTATTTAAAAAATGCCATCCTTAAAGAAATGCCAAGCACAGTAGCCAGCCGATACTTAAAAACCAAGTAGGCGGCAATTTTCGCTGGCAGCTGGCTACTTTTGACAACCCCGTTTTATTATTAAATTATGATTCTTATCCTTCCAAATTACCCAAAAGCAGATAATATATAATATTGATGGCACTGAGGACATGAAATTGTGCCCTTAGCATGTTTTTGTCCATTTTTCTCGTTAGATACTGTCACCAGTTTTACAAGATGGTTCTGATAATCTTTGAGACAAGAAATAGGAGAAGGCCATTTGGAATTGTTGCTTTATATTCTTGTTCATCAGGAGGGACCAAGGATTAGGGACCACATAAGTCATGGAGAAGTTAATCTGCAAAAAATCTCACAAGAATCAGCCAATCACATTTTATGCCTGTGCATTGCGTTTGCAGGATTGTACCTTTACCCAGATAAGATCAACAGATTCAATGGTGATTATCTATTTCCTGTCAGCAAAAGAATATGTGAAATAGCAAGGAGTTACAAATCACGCTTTCATCCAGTTTCTCTTGCAAGAAAGACAGTGTGTAAACTAACACTTTCTTTATTAAAATGGCAGGATTTACCCAATCCATTTCTGGATGAATTCAGTGGTTTAGAGAGCAGTGATGGAAAACTGTCTACACAGATTGCAGATGCCACAAGGCTTGCGAAGAGTTAATAACATCATTGTTTGTAGACAATGTGTCCAAGCTGTTTCCACTTCAATTTGATTTGGGAAAAGTTAATACATTTGTTGAAGTTGTGGTAGAACTCTTGAACATAGCACAATTTCCTACCCTGTACAGGCCTAAAGAGCAAATAGAGGTAGCTGTTTTACTAAGGAACATAGCACAGCATGGAATTGTAATTTCTGGACAGGTCAGTAGGAACACACTTCATCTGTAGTCTGTAGGGTTCCTCATCAAAGTTTTCTTATAACCAAATGTGGTAAATATTTAGTAAAGTAAAGAGGTGTTGTCTCAAAAATTTAAATTTGTGAATTTATGAGATTGGTTACCATATTCAGAGAGAACAAGTGTAAACAGGATGGGGGTTTATAAGCACCATTATGCTCTGATGCCTCCATAGAATTTATTCTAAAATAGGCCTGGATCATAACAGTTACATTCCTGGCTTATTTTAGAATTAAGACCTATAATTATGGAGTCACTGGAGCATGATGTTGCTTAATATATCTCCCCACCAATTTAATTTGCTGTAAATAAACAACCTCAGTTCAAAGTAAGGTTTTTCTTTTTCAGCCATTATTTATGAATAGAGATTTTGTGGTAGTTTTTAACTTTGGTAATTGACTGAGAATAGTAACTATTTCAAGATATACACACACTCATTAAATGTCAATTTCTTAATGTTTTCCTTGTGGATAAAATTTGTTAATTAATTTTACAAGGAAGAAAAATAGAATGCTGAAGATTTGGTTGTCTTTTCAACCAGATCTGTGAGACAGCCTCAAGATCAGTGAGATTTGAACAGTGGCAGAACAGGCAGCTAAGACAGCGACAAAGGACAAACTACAAACGACTGTGGTCACAGGTTCCACTCATATTTGTAGCCCTGCAGTTTATTGTCATCATCATTGTCATAGAACTGTTTCAACTGCCAAAGAACAGAGATCAAAGTAACAGGAATACTTTCACAAGGTAATAAAACTGCAGCTTTATTTTTTGTAACATGATTCAAAATCAATTGATCTAAACCCATTCAAGTAAAAGTAAAAAAAACATCCACAAAAACAAAGATCTATTTTTAAGCATCAACATTACCGTGGATAGGATATAGGGAGTAAAATAAGCTAACTAGTTTCTAAATCACTAGCTAGAATCATGGCAGTTTTGTTTTAGTACATTTATTTACAAAGTCTTCTGTCCTGGTAACCCACATTAAATCACAGAATGACTTCTTATGTTTTCCACAAAAAAGTGTCTATTAAGTAAGTTTGTGAATTTACATGCATGTTTGGAGACAACGACAACGTGACGTAGAGGTTATGGCTTGCAATGTAACCATTGTTTCCAAAACAACAAGCAGTTACTTTAATTTATCATTATTTTTCACACATTCTTGCAGGTTCATCAAACGATGTCTTCAGTGTACAGAGAACATGGAATCTCTATCCAGCACAACAAAAAACCGATGGGATGAATGTAGTACTACAGCAAAGATGTTGGTGGAGTGTGTTGAACATTATTACGCCAAAAGATGTGAAGTTGTGTCATGATTATTTCTGTCTGTCACCTATAAGATCAAGAAAGAAAACATAAAATTCATTATCACCCAAAATGTTACAAATTATTTGATTATTCGCAAGAACTGCTTTCTTTGTTTCAGACTAAAGGTGCTTTGAAATTCACAACACTTCCAGTTTCACCAGTAGCAAATCCTTCTCTTGCAGCAGTTTCAGTGACTCCGAAAATTTTTAAGGTCTTCATTTGCCTGTTTCACAGCAAGTTCAGGATATAAAGGGATGTTTAGTGTAGCAGATATCCTTCAAATAGCAGATGTTATCCATCAAGTTGTATTCTTGCTGTTCTTGCTATGCTTTTAGGCAGTCATTCAGCTATTTCTTCTACACAAAACATGTGAACTGTTTGATGCCATTTTCTACTAGTCTACAAAAACTAAGCAACCTTATCCCCAGGACTTCTTGGTTTCCATCCCTTTTTCTGGCAATTACCCTGTACTATTTGATGTCATGTTCAGGATGTCATGGACATCTTCCAAATTTGGCTATCAAGAATTAGCCATGGGATTTGAGCCAATCAGAAATGAAGAAATATTATTGAATGGATGATAATAAATATTAGTGCAAATTCGATTCTTGACAATATTATCAAAGCCACTTTATTTACAGCTCCAAGGTTGTGGCAGGGAACTTGGAAAATACTGTAGTGACTAATTCCCATGTGACAACACCGGTTTGTCTTATGCCATGTGATATTCAGATTTCCAGAACTACATCATTTCATTATTTTTGCCACAGTTTTTTCTTGACATACCATGATAACTAAGTTGGTCCACCATATTTTACATCTGTTGGTGTTAAGTCACCGACATAAAACTTTTCCAGCACAGATGAAATATAGTTTTTTACAACTCTATGTGCAGGTTGTTGTGTAAACCCCTGTGTTGAGTCTCCACCAACATTTTTGAGAATGGCTTCCTGTCCAGGATGAGTGGTCACATAATCCGACACATCATACACCTGATAACGCAATATGTCACATTGTTATATGGCTGAATCAACGAGCAGGAAAGATGAAGGGAATCCTGCATTCTGATTGGCAAGCTTGTTCGGTCAAGATGGCTAAATGTTGACGTCATTCCTTTCTGCATTTATATAGACCTCGACAAAAATGCAAAAAAGAACTTCGCTGATATCCAGCCATCTTGACCTCATGCTTGGTCAATAACACATATGTCAAGCAACCTTAATAGTTTTAGAGACTATCTTCTTACATTTGAGAGACTGTGACACTTGCTCATTAGATTATTTCAAATTTTTCTGTTTATGCCTCTGATACTTTGCCTCATTCTCATGCTTTTCATGCATTTTACTTTACACCAACTTTTTATACATATAGCTCTATGCAGAATATTTTCTCATCCCTGATGATGTAGCCTGCGAAAACATCCGTTTCTCCTCGCTCTTCGCCGCTGGGGACGTTTCGCGGGGAGGAACGTCTGCGACTCAGAGACAGAAATTCCATACTGATGACGCAAATCAATGTTTACATAATGAATCCGGTTAGTCATGAGGTTCCAAACATAAATTTGTCCAATTTTGCTTGTCTTCTGGTCGATTTTGGTGAAGTGTTGTGTTCATCTGCCAACGAGCTTAGCAAGACTCAAATGCTTCTTCTAGAGAAGACTATATTCCACAAATATAGACTGTTTGTCAGAGATTCTTCGCGTTTACATTTGACCTTTGTGGCCTTTTGTCTTTTGTCTGTCATTCGTAAACAATGGCTAAAACAATGTAACTACTCCGTCGACCAATCAGCGCTTCTGACCGGATTCCGGACAGATTTTACGTCATCAGTATGGAATTTCTGTCGCTGAGTCGCAGACATTCCTCCCCGCGAAACGTCCCCAGCGGCGAAGAGCGAGGAGAAACGGATGTTTTCGCAGGCTACTGATGATGTGGTTGATCAGCGAAAGCTGGGATTATTTATATTTTTAATTACAGCAGTTACAGGTCTCACTCAAACAATATTTTACTTATAATTGCACAGTGTTTGGAAATTATCTATCTGCAATCTTTTGCTGAGTAAGTTTTTTTGTATCCATAAGAATGTTCAGATGACTCCTAAATAATGCAAAAGAAGTTCTGGCAACTTCCAAAAGTTACTGAAGATGACTAAAAACTCCTGAAGATTGTAAAAGCTAATTACTATTGCTGTAATAATGTGGGAAAAATAATACCATACTTTTTGAATCCTTGGGCCTTTTTTGAGTACCATTTTAATATTGTAGTAACGATAAGCTAAAAAAATTTGTTGTGTAGAGTTGTTCAAATCATTGTGAGCAGCTTCTCTATTAGCCTGCATTGCAGCCGGCCCACGCACTCGACTAAACCATTTGTATAGTCCGTATATACAGAAGGTTTAGAGCGTCTGCGACGCAGGCAACTTCTCTATGTAATTAGGCAAGAGTTGCCCACATTGGTCTCCCTCAGGGGTTAATTTGAATAGACCTTTACAAGGTTAACACCGCCATTTTGCAGGGGGTGCAAAACTACTGGGGCGAGCGCGCGGCCAAACAATATAATGCAAATGGCTGACTCATCGAGTTGCAATTACCTGCGAAGAAATATCGAAATATCTTAATCTAGGATCAAAACACGTGTACTGAAACTGTTAGTTTGAAATCCTTTTCTATTTCTGCCGCTACCACTCCGGTAGAGCGGCCACAAAATTATTTGTGATGCCTCGACAAGCAGAGGAAATTCTTGAATACGACGACTTCCTCGGTTGGACTGTTTCCTCGTTAAAGGATTTTCTTTCGCTACGGGGACTCAAGCAAACGGGCAGAAAGTCTGAGCTGATCGCTAGAGCGTTTGGAGCCTACGAACTCAATGTGCCTGTGAAGTTTTCCCAGGAGCAAATTCATCAGCAGATAAAAGACGAATATTCAAGGAGGCTGACTAAAAATGAAATTAAGAGTGATCCAAACATGTTACCGAGTGACGCTTGGATTGACGACGTAAAGGAATGGCCAGAGGTCGATGATGGCAAATTGTTCAGTTATATTTTGAGGACTAAAGCCGTAGATGTCGACTATATTGGAAAATACAAGGCTCAGAAGGCCTATTCTTATTGGATGAGTGGCTTTGTAGACACAGTGTTCTTTTGCTAAATGCCCAATTAACAGCAAGCATGTGTTCTTGAAAGGCTCTGTATCCCCGTCACAAAAAAATTCGTTATGACCCGCATAAGGTCTGGGTTTGTTTAGAGGGCACAAAAGTGAATGCAAAATCTTAACCTCTTGGTGTACATGTACAGCAGGTACTGGTGAAGTTTGCAATCATGTTATAGCTTTGCTATATAAAGTAAATTTTGTACACAAGAAAGCTTACATATCTCCTGCATGTACAAGCGTTCCACAAGGATGGAACAAAGGAACTAGAAAGGATGTAGCTCCAACTCAAATAAAAAAAACCTTGTCTTTCGTAAAGACAAAAAAGACTCGGGAGGACAGTCCCAAAGAACAGGCAGCCAATTTAACTTTAAAGAACAACTTTGACCCACGAAAGCCCCAGGATAGGCAGCTGACCAATGAAAGGGTGTCAGCTCTTATCAATGGAGTAATTGAGAATGTCCCATCTGCTTGTTTACTTCACTCTATCGAGCACACTAAAGATGACGGCCTACCCGAACCTCTTCCTCAGAGAGCCCTTAGCTTCATGTCATCCCAAGAAATGAAAGGAAAACCATTGGAACATACCGCTCCACTCTTTTTAAAAGAATGTCAGATGACGAGTGACCAAGTGAAAAGGGTGGAAACTGAAACTCGTGGCCAGAGTAACAATGACTCTTGGCATCAACAAAGAGTTGGGAGAGTGACTGCGTCAAATTTTCACAAATTTCACACCAAGGCTCAAACAATCATCAACAGAAAAAGTGACAATGACAAAAAACCCATTTACAGTTCAATGGTGTCAAGCCTGTTGAATAAAAGTGATGATGTCTCACATATGCCACAGATAAAGTGGGGGAATGCCCATGAAAAGGATGCCATAAAATCATTCATGTCAGATGTGGCCTCTCAACATGATGGTGGCCTACAGGGCTTTAGACAGTGTGGATTGTTCATCAAACCCGATTACCCCTTCCTTGCGGGTTCCCCGGACGGCCTGTTTTTTTGCCATTGTTGTGGTCTGGCAACACTGGAAGCAAAATGTCCCTACAGTGTGAGAAATGAAAATATTCATGAAAAAAAGACATTTGACCGTGTGGAATTTCTTGAAGATTTTAATGGAAAGCCCCGCTTGAAACGCTCGCACAAATATTACACCCAAATGCAAGCTCAGATGTGGGTTTGTGGTGCCAATCATGGCTTCTTTATTGTTTGGACTCTGGGCGGCCAACCATTGTATGAACGAGTAGAACTTGACTTGGAATTTTGTCTGAAAGTTGTGAACAATATCACCCTCTTTTACAAATCTTTTGTGTTACCTTGCCTGTTAGGATACAGGGACATTTTTGAGTGCCCCAAGTGTGACAAGGTTATTTTGGAGAGTGATGAAATAAGTGATTCTGCAAACGAAAACAGTGTATGCTGTGACCGCTGCAGCACTTGGTGGCATTTGCCATGTGCTGAACTCAGTGTGAATTCTGCAGATGCACTCGACTCTTGGATTTGCCAGAGCTGCCTGGCTGATGCAGCAAACATGCATGATGCTGGGGATGATGAACTTGACTTGAACTTACCTGAGGAAGAAGAACAAACTGATAACTCAAACACTGTAAATCATGTCTGCCCAGTTTGTTGTCTTAAGAGTATCCCTGTGAATGGAGAACATGTTTGCACAGTCTGTAAAAAAGCTTTCCATGCTTGGTGCAGTAGCCATGAGGACATAACAAGTTCTGCAGACCTAATTTGTAATTACTGCATTTCAGATTAATACATGTACTGTACATTGAATTTTAATTACTGTTCACAAGGAGAAGTTTCACCACATGGTCACATACAGCTGTAACTAATCCCAAACATCAAATCGACAAAATCATAGATTCACAAGGTGTTAAGAACTTTAATACACCAGTCCAAGAAGTACATGTATAACTTACAAAATGTTTTAATTACATCATGTAATATTTTTCTACATGTAGAAACAATTTAAGAATGTTGGATGCATTTTCATTTCTACTAAGTTAGACATGGAGAAAAGTCAGAGTTATTTACACATTTCTATATATTTTTTATAGCCACTTATTGTTTAGTATTGTTTTGTTGATGCATTTTTTATGAAATGTTATGAAAATGTTTTATGAACATTCCTGTTGCTACGGTTAATTACGCACATTTCTAATAGCAAATTTCAATTCCTTAATCAATTTAACATTATGTAAATACAACTTGATTTGGAAATATACCGGTATTTCATGATAATTTAAACAAAATTGTTTTGTACAAAAAGTAACATTTCATTCACTCATGGAAGGACCTCCATTCAAAGAAAGCCAAGTTCATTAGATAGCTTTTGTGGGGACTGTTCATTCTGAAATAGAAAATGCAAGGTATTGCTCTTATGCCCTAAAATACACAACGATGTCATCTATGTACAGTGTAGTAGTAGTTTCACATTTCATTGACATGTTAACAGTTCTCAAATGAACCTGCCCCAGTCTCTAAACTGAATATGTGGTCACCTTGGCATATTTGTAAATAAAAATATCAAACACAGAGTGGTGGAAGCAAATTGCACAATGCACAGCAGACACGAACAATATCATCAGCCAGGGGGAAGCAGGATAATAGGCAGTTCATTTTTCAGAATAAGAAAAACTTTGAGCCGTCCAATAGCTTGTTCAACATAAATTCTGACATTCGCAATGTTTGATGTCTCTCTGACATCACGTGGTAGCATTTGCATAGATGATGCACAACTAGGTGGAATGCATAATGTTGCCATGTGCATCATCAAGTCCTCTCGGATTTTAAAACCTCTGTCTGCCATGACTTCATCGTAAGGCTCAATCATTTTTAAAAACCCACTATTCCTTACAATAAAAATATCAGATGCCCTGCCTCCATAACATGGTGAAACATATGAAATTGCTCCATTTGGGGTGATGGCAACAAGGACTTTGAAAGTGTAGTGGTGCTTGTACTCACTCCATAGTGTTGCTGCCAGGTCAAGTCCACTTGGAGTTTCTGTGAAGCACTCAAAACAGTCAATTACACATCTTACTTTGGGATAAAGCTTTTTAAAACAGTATGGGAGGGTTTTCTTGATCTGTTGTCGACTAGGCCACACAATTAAAACGGAGAGTTCCTTGGACATGAGCTTAACCCAAGTTATAAAAACACTACTGACAGTGGAAGCTGACACTTGGAACCTGAACCCCAAATCAAAAGTTAGAAGAGCTAGTCTTAGTTTCATAAGAGTCAGTAAAAACTCCTGTTCAAGTCGAAGCTTCCTCTCTGGCCCAGGTCTTCCTTTGAGATAGCCAGTTGCTAACTCAAAAGGAGAGGGAGGTTGACACGATTCTTTTCTTGTTTGTTTTCCACCCCTCCAATATTGCATAAACCGAGCCTTTGGGCTCAAATAATCGAACAAGAACTCGAATGCTTTCGGTGATGGCAGACCTGTGTAGACTTTTACTTCCATTTCTCTTTTCAACTGTTCGAATTGCATTGGAACTGAAACGGAGTAATCTGCATCTGCTTCCATTTCCTCATCATCACTATCACTCTCCTCAGGATCCTGCTTTGACTCCTTGGAGCTAGGGAACAGGCTTCTTGCAGAACCAGCTTCTTGTAACTTGTTCGCTTTCCTTTTCTTGGGTGATTTTTTCTGCAGGTAATCCGAAACAGTCATAAAAATAGACGGAAAATCCGTTTTAGGGTTTTCAGGAGTTCTTCGTCCACATGGGAAATGATTTGAACACACGAAAGTCCCACTAGCACCAGGGGAAGGATTGAAGGAATCACTTCGAGTCTTCGCCACTTGTTTTTGCCATATTTCGGCAAGTTTAGGGTCGGTTGGCCACTTGTGATATACTAAATTCTCCACATGTGATCTGACAAAAGCAAGGTCAGGATATCTTTTATCATTATCGCAAAAACCTACCGCACAACGAGCGTGTTTTGGCATGTTAACAGATTATTCAGCCGTGTCGCCATTTGCATTTCATGCTCGGCCGCGCGCTCGCCCCAGTAGTTTTGCACCCCCGGCAAAATGGCGGTGTTAACCTTGAAAAGGTCTATTTTCCCACGATTAGTAGTGTCATCACGCAACGCTTGTTAGGTGGGGGGTAGCGTTGCGTGACGTCACTAAAAAACGGCTGGGAGGAAGACCCGTCTTGTCTTTGAGAGGAAGACTATGCTGCGATCTGACGTTTCAAAAAAGGCTCTTGATTGTTCCCTTGCATAAAGAACAGCATACTGTGTGCACTATTGTAGGCCTCGATCGCTAATCAGACAAAAAATCCCCACTCTGGCACCGTTAAGACATTTATTTGTCTTTTACTGAAGCTCACCGGCATGCAGTTTGATTGTTTCGACCTACCGTAAGCAAAGATAAGCATCTTACAATTAAAGAGATTTATCGTCAACAAAACCTTCAGAAGTAATACCTTTCCACTGATTACTATCCAAGCATCGTCGACTTTGTTGTGCTTTTGTAATTCTTGAAGAGAAATCGAAGTTTCCATAAGTGTGTTACCTTTATCTGTCCTCGAAATTTAATACGAAATTATGCGATTGTGCAAGACCGGGAGAGATTTGGGAACTAAATGCTGATTTCCAAAACGTGCCGAACTTATTGCGAGAGTTAAATGCATGTGAAGTGCGACGTTTGAATCGATTAAATTCGACAGTTTAAATTAAATGCTACTTTCGCCGTATATGCGACTAAAACATTCGAAGATTCGACTTAGGTGCATGAATCTGATGAATTTTTATTTAGAGAGACTGGAAATATTGACAGCAAACAGAGTTAAATTCGACAGAGACGTCAGAGTTAAATTCGGCGTTTGAATCAACTGCCGTATTTAACTATTTTAGTCGACTAAAACAGGAATTAAGTTTGGTACAGGTGAAATTCCACGTTTGAACTGGGCCTAACCACAGGTCAACCAAACTCGAAATATAAGCGTTGGCGAACATCGGCATTGTTGCGTAACTTTCGAAATATAAGGATTTGTATGGAAAAAACCCTATCATTTCCGTAACCTACGAAAATGAAAGGATTTTTCTATATAAATAGAGAAATTTCGTAGCCTACGAAAATGAAAGGATTTCTCTTAATAAAGACCTTTATATAGAGAGAAAACAGTTTACAGTAAAACCCTTTATAAAACGGCCATAAATCTGACCACACAGGAGAGACGTAACACACATTTTATGTAAAGTAAGCTGTTTTTTATTTAAATCCTTTCATTTTCGTAGGTTACGGAAACGATAGGTTTTTTTCCCGTACAAATCCTTATACTTCGAATGTTACGCAACAATGCCGATGTTTGTCGAGCTTGGGCAACCTGTGTATGAACCTTAATATATAGAGAAAACCTTTTACCCATAAAACGGCCATAAATCGGCCCACGGACCGCACAGGAGAGACGTAACACACATTGTATATAAGGTTACGCAACAATGCCGATGTTCGCCGACGCTTATATTTCAAGCTTGTGTTTCCTGCGGCCTAACGTTCTTTTCGAAAACAGCGGCGAGCTCGCGAGCGAAGCGAGCGCGCGAGAACGAGCGCCGAGGGCGATAAAGAAAAATCCCCCACCACTATCCCCTTGCGCTGGCGGTCAATAAATCCCCTGCGGTTTATATTTATCACCCGACGGACTTTGAAGAGAAAATAGAGGGTCTGTGAACAGGCTACGCAAGTATTCGCAAGTATGCGTTTCCAAGCTAGCGCCTTTTGCGCCCGTGAACTGATTTCATTTGTATTTTTTGAGAGTAAGTTACCTAAGACATAGAGCTGAGGCGATTAAAGTTTTCATTGCATGCACCAGCCTACATGCACCCTATGAAACAACTGCATAAACGCCATAAAATTGCGGCAAAAATCGGCGCTTGAATTAATTTTCAGCAGGAATCACCCAAAGGGCAAAAAAATTCGCCGTCGTCTTCCTTTAGCCTGGCTGCAAACGCTACTTTTCCTAAGACCTGCTCATAAATGTTATACTGTTTTTGTTTTCATTAAAAGCTGTATCTCTGCAACATATATAGTGTCTCGTCCTGAATTTGATGGTACTGGCCTGTTGATTAAAGTCTTTCAAGCAGTCTGATATAGCGAATATGATTGGCACAAATGTGCTTTAAACGCGTGATTGTTACAAGCCTCGAATCTTTTTGCATTTTACTGTTTTTAAATCATATTTGGATAAAAGTTAATGGTGCTCATGACAAACACAAGAAACGGACTTGACCGTAAGAAATTTCGAATCAAACCTTACAAGTGCTCCATGGGCGAAGAAGATGGCGTTAATATTTGTTTTTATGGGAGTTGTAATGTAATGAAGGTTGAAATAAATAGGTTTTTTTTTGGAATTTGCGTAGAATTGTTTATGTTGTACACTCATGACTATGCATAATTTGCGCGCCAAAATTCAGTTATCAGGAAATTTAACAACTGTTAGACAATGAAAGCGGCAGGAAATAAAACGTGCTTTAATATCGCAATGAGTGTTGAAAGCCCTTGTAAAAGAAAATAATGTACGTTGTCAATGAAATCCTAAGGAACTTGTAATTTCTTTTGCGAAAATTTACCTTTAAAATGGCCCGTTTGACTTAAAAGGTGGGGGCTTTTATGTTGAAAGAACAATGGGCTTACTAAATTGTCAAATGGACATCGACACTATGGTATCGTGACGTCATTACTAGTACCTGCCATGGGAGCTTTTATGTTCAAAACACAATGGGCTTGCTTAACTGTCAAATAGACGTCGACAGGCCGCCTTATGCTGTCGTGACGTCATTACTAGTACCTGCCATAGGGGCTTTTATGTTCAAAACACAATGGGCTTGCTAAACTATCAAATAGACGTCGACAGGCCGCCTTATGCTGTCGTGACGTCATTACTAGTACCTGCCATAGGGGCTTTTATGTTCAAAACACAGTGGGCTTGCTAAACTATCAAATAGACGTCGACAGGCCGCCTTATGCTGTCGTGACGTCATTACTAGTACCTGCCATGGGGGCTTTTATGTTCAAAACACAATGGGCTTGCTAAACTATCAAATAGACGTCGACAGGCCGCCTTATGCTGTCGTGACGTCATTACTAGTACCTGCCATGGGGGCTTTTATGTTCAAAACACAATGGGCTTGCTAAACTATCAAATAGACGTCGACAGGCCCCCTTATGCTGTCGTGACGTAATTACTAGTACTTGGCTGAACATGTTTAGCATAAATTAAAAAGTTTCCCGCGCATTTTATTTATGAGTCACAATATGGCTGGTACTTAAAAAGGCCCAAAATGCTGGCACACCGCTACTAACGACAACAGTATAAATAATTCAACTTTTATGGAAAATAAGCCATAACATCCAAAACAACCTGTTGACAGAATCAAGCTAAAGCCTACGGATAATAAATAAAGAATTCATGGCTAGTTCAGATTATGGAATCTTTTCCCATCTCATTGAAACAAAGGCTATGTTCACACTGTACTGGATAGCTTTTGCGCCGGCACGAAAATCATACCGGACACTAGAGCTTCTGTTCACACCTAACAACGGGGATTTTGGCGCGATTTCTGTAAACGAAGTTGGGCCACGCCGATCTCTATTTGTTTTTGCTCAAAATACTGACGCGCTTCTCACTACGTAACAATAGATAGTGAGTACGTTAACCAGTCACATTGCAGAGGTCGAGATAGTATGCTAGTTGGTTTCTACTCAAAATGAATACAGCGCGGCATTAAATGTACGTCTCGTGCACCATTTTTTCCTTTTTTAACTACAGGCGACCCAAGCTCGGTGCATAAATTACCGCTAGTGTCGATACTGGTTTGCAAATTATGAACGATTTAAAGACTTTGTTTGAGAAATTCAATATAGTTGTTCAAACGTAGAAATATAGGCTTAAACACAGGAATAAATTGTACTTACGGAAACTTGTGTCTGTTGTTGATTTTTCTGTGTAACCTGGGCTCAATTCATGGCCACTTTATACTGTTTTGCGGCTTGTTGTTTGTTCGGTGTTATTTTGCTACATAAAGCGAAGCAAGGCAGGTGACTGTGCACAGTCTCAGCTTACAAATCTCTCCCGCATTAAAGAACCGCACACGAGAGTCACCCGTCATGAGAGCGCCAAATCCTTAAGGCCAGGTCAGTCTCTTATCTTTTCCCTTCGTCATGGGCATTGCGTTTTTTTGAAAGTGTTTGGTTCTGGGCAATCTGACGTGTGCGCTCAGGAACCTCGATGACTACGTGTTGCGTGGTAAACGCGATCATTTTATATACGCTCATCCATTGGATAATTCAACACCGCTCACGCGCAAACAGTAGACTATCTGAGGGTAGGAAGAGCCATGTTTTGTCATGCAATATTGATTACCCGGATCCCCTGACTGGTCCATGTTCTCGTTCACCACGCAACACCTAGTCATCGTTCCTTAGCGCACCTCAGATTGCCCAGGAGAAAAACTTTCAAAACATCCAGACAATGGCGGTAGAGATATTAGAGCCATGGGCTACATCTTGGTGCAATGAGTATCAAACAACCTGGTTCCAGTTCACGCCCGACAAAAATAAATGGATTTTAAAACGCTTATAGAAACAGGTAGAAATGGTAGAAATTAAGTTCAATAAACGCATTGCTAAAAAAAACACTTTTTCTCTGTTTTCCCATGTCTCTATTATTCATTATGGGCGTACGGCCGCCACCTTCTATCAGGCCATTCTGTCAGCCACATCATTGTAGTAGTGCTTGATCCCGATAAAAGTTATTCCTATGGATAAAGGCTGGGCATACTGCTTTAACCCCTTGCTGTTTATAGCTGAAGTGGGATGACAGTAAAAAGGGCATCAGAACATAAACCTTGCTGTAATAAAAATTTCTAACCTGTAAATAAACGCGGGAGAAAAGAAGAGTGGAAATTGCGCCGGGCTGTCGACCCGGGGATTAAATAGCACTTGGAGACTCGAATCTAGTGTCACCAAACATTTCTTAAATTGAGTGACAAACTGTTGCCTACGTACAGTTTGAGTTCTCTACTGCGAGCCCACAGAACAGAAATACGCATAAAATTGATTGAGAAAGAGACCCTGACTATCGTCCATGCCTTTAAGGAGTTCGATCAATTGCTTTTTGGCAAAGGAGACATCACAGTACATATCAATCATAAGCCCTTGGAGGCGATTTTCAAACGTTCCCTTGCACTTGCTCCCCGTCGTCTGCAAAGCATGCTGTACAGCTTCAGGGTAAAGGATCGCAAGGGCTTCACCCTTGTTATCGCTGACACGCTATCTCAAGCATCTTTGCCAATGTTGCTGACGACAATAACCTTACTTATAAAATAATAATTACCTCATGTGTAGAATATAAAATTCATAAATTGTTTGAATTTTGCTTGGGTAATCTTTTCCTTTGACATGAGATTAATTTTGCTCTCTTTGATTCTTGTTTCTAAAATGACGTCACTTCTTTGGGTGTGGTGTTTTCTTAAAGATGTTAAATTTCGTCGTAACATTGTC